GATTACCGAGTTTTATTCTAGCACTGAGCCTCCCCACAAAATATCAGTGGATCCCATAACAAGAGAATACCGAGCTGTACAAAACAGCCATCCTGCGATGGCCTTCTAAATAACAACTCTGTCTGCAGAGATAAACCACGAGCTGGGAGCTGGGAACTGTGAGAAAGGTTAATGCAGTTAACGTGGAGCTAATGACATTAGCCAGCAGAACAAGCCCCTAATTCCCGAGCCACCCAGCAGTGACCTCTCCCAACAAAAACCCCATTTTTCCCCATTGGTGACCGAAGCAGGAGGCTCAGGGTGGATGGATGGTGCTTAAAACCGAACAACATTTGGGAGGTGGTTGGGGCAGAGGGCGCCGAGGCCCAAATTGTCCAAATGGAGATCAAATGGGCACCTGCAAAGCCTTGGAGATGCTGCAGGGAAAACTTGCTGCCTGTGGCGGACACTGGAAAATCCTTCTGCTTGAATGTAGTCCTGCTCCTGCGTGGAGCGGTGCTCAGCTGGAGCTGCTGGGATTAATTAGCACCAATTAGCTGATGGATACAGACCGCGTGGCGCTGCAAACTGGGGCAGCTGGGGAAGGGGGGGGGCAAAAGGAATCGGATCTGATCCTGTGGGTCCCGTGGTGCTGCAGGACGTTGTGTGGTCTGCAGGAGTCCCAGCAGCAACAGCACCGATGGGTGTGCAGAGGGCAGCAATGGGCCCTGGGCTCTGCCCTGGAGCTGGGAAAACAGCAGCTCCAAACCCAAACCACCAGTCTTTAGAGCAAACTGGAAGGGATTTGAGTGCATTTGGGACTGAAATTTAACTTGTAATGGGTGGCAGGGGTGTTGCTACTTGCTTTTAGTTGTGGTTATTGGTGGTGATGGTTTTTTAACAGAGCTTGTTCTCCTCCTGCAGTGTGCACCACAGTGCTCCTGGGGTGCTCAGTGCTGGCACAAAGCAGGTCACATCCCTTGGACACAGTGCAGGGAACCAGCAGCAGACATCCTCCATGTGGGAAGGGCTGCTCAGTCCCAGTGCTGCATGCACTGCTCACTGTGAGGGGGCTGGGATGCTCGTGTGGGGCTGGGCTGGAGCACACAGCACAAAGCTGGCCTTTGCTGCAAAGAGCTGCTGAGCAGGGCCGTTGCTGAGAGGGACCCCAAATCTTGCACCCAAAAGGGTGCTCCCACCTCATTGTGTCCCCAGGGAGACGTGCAGAGCTGGGGCAGAAGCCTGCAGTGCCACCAAGTGCCCTTGAGCTGGCCTTAGTGTTATCTGCAGACTGAGTGAGAAGCAGGATGTAGTCAGGTTCCCAGATGAGATGTGCAGCAGGATGCAGGCACAATCCCACGAGCTGCAGGGCCCCCAGTCCCAAGATGCATGCACCAGCCCAGCCTCCAGCCTATTCCTTGCTGGGATAAAGTGCCACTGGGATGCTGGGCAATGGCCACACAAACCCTGACCCACGATAGCAGATGGCATGGGGATGGCAAGGGGGGGCTCATGCAGCCAGACACCAGGGGACTCTGAGGTCATCCTTGTGGGGAGCAAACCCACAGCCATTGCTATTGCAAAGCAAACCCACTCTGTTGGCACTCAGGAGCCTGGCTAATTAATGGAAACCCCTGTGCCCCCATCTCACTGCATCTGGAGTCCAGCAGAGCTCCACTGCACTTCTGCCCTCCCCTCTGCACCGCTCCCCTTCCCCTCTCTGTATCTGTGGGCTTCATTTGCTATTGCTGCTGAGTGGTAGGAAGGAGAAGCTGCCTTGGTGCATGTAAGCAATTACAGCATGTCACTGTGGGGATGGGAGCTGCACAGCTTGGGCACGTTTGTGGCTGCAGGGCTGCAGGCTGTGTCTGCCTCCAGTGCAATGCATCACTTGCTCAAGGGAAGGTCTGCAGAGAAATAACATGGAACCCATCCCAACTGTAAGTCTGGAGAGGCTCCACTGTGCCATTACTCAGAGCTTGGCAGGCTCTGTGCTGGGGCCAGCTGTGAGGTTACAGCCCTGCCTTCCAAATGATGACACCCATGGAAGGACACAGCCCACAGCACCAGGCTGTGTGTGGGGGTGCATGAAGCAGAGCTGTGAGGACGGATCCACCAAGAGGTTCCTTGCCCCATGGAAATGAATGACAGCTCGCCTGCAGCGTTGAGCCGGCCAAAACCCCAGCACTGGATAAGTTAGATTGAAATTATTATATCATGGATACTACACGTAGCCTGGGCATGGCAAATTGTCCCAGATTATCCCCGGAGTTACTGCAGCTGTGAATTATACGGAGGTTAACGTTTGGATTTCAGGCCAGATAATTTATGGCAAAGTCCAGGGATGGGTTTTTATCTGCTGCTGAAAGTTCATCTGCAATAACAATACTTGGGAGAACCCAGCGCTTGGATGCACAGAAATCCCAGGCCCTTCTGCCTGAAAGCAAAGATGTTTCCATTTAAAAGCACTGTTAGAAAGAACAAACATCTCCCTATTAGTGACTGAGTGCTCCTCTGCTCTGCCGCCGTCATCTGGTTTGGATTAGGGCTGGATACGGTCCTGCTCTGCCACGGCAGTGAGGAGGGGAGCTTGGAGCTTGTCCACTCACCCCAAGTCTGAATTGAACGTGGCACATAACTGCAGGCGAAAGGGATTCCAGTGGGCACAGGGCCATGGGACAGGGTGCAGCTCCTCCCCCTGGGAGCTCCATCCATCCCCTTCCAAACCATGGGAAACCACTACAATGGGCAGCAATGACCCTCAGCAGAGGGATGCTGCGGGGTTTGGGGGATTCCTGCTTCCTAGGGGAGCCCAGGAACGGGGAGCCTCTGGATCCAGCTCCAGTGTTTCTTGTGCTTGGTGCTGACACAGCGCCTGCCCGGAGCCGGATCTTGCCATAGCTGCTAATGTGATAATGTGATAAATTGGAAACACTTTGCAGAAGGAGACAGAGGGAAAGCCAGAGAACTTGTCCTGTCAGCAATGACGTTCAAGCAGCACCTCAAGGAGACAGATTCCTCCAGGAATATTCATCCCTACCTTAGGACCTGCTTCACCCCACCGCTGTGCCTGCAGGAGCACCCGTAGGTTGACCTGGAGGCTCATCACAGTCCCAGATGCCAGGCTGAGCATCCCTGTGCTTTCCTGCACTGGTTTCAGACAAAGGACAAGGAACCCTTCTTGAGACGTCTGCTGGCATTTTAGAGGGAAGGGGCTGCCAAGTTTTGTGCAGGAAGAGATTGTTGGTAGGAAAGAATCTAATTCAGAAAACTCAAGGCATACAAGCAACAGAGGGAGATCGGGTTAAAGCCATGCACTGATCTCCAGCCTCAGCCTCTCAGGCCTTGGGTGCTCTGGGACCCATGGGCTGTGGGTACATCTCAAGAGCTTCCCAGGTCTCATTATTGCCCCATAGGATGGATATGCAGCCCTGGGAGCAGCACACAGAGATGAAAGGTGGGTGCCATGCATGCAGAGTCCCCACTGAGGAACCACGCTGATCCCCATGAGCTCATTCTTTACAGTTCATTTGTTTGCATCCTTCTAGCTGAGCTCAGGCAGACAAATTTGGGTTTGAACAGAGCATGGATTTAAGGCTGCTCTGAGCCCTCTTCTGCTGGGGAAAGGCGTGTGCTGCGTTTGGACAGACAGAGGATCTGTAGCAGAGGGGAAAGTGGCAGGAGTTGGGAGCTTACCCCACAGCAAGGGGTGTGGAAATAGGACTCCATCTTAAGCAGAGAGCCCTGGCAGGAGTCCTGGCTGCGGGAAGCCAGCCCGGGCAATGGAAGGAGGGTTTTCCATAGCTCTGTTGTTTGGTGAATGTGCTGGGCAGTTACATCCAATATGCATTATAAAGGGAAACCCAAAACGCATGGCCCATTTGCGCTGCAGCATCCCCGCGCTGTGGGGCAGGAGGAGGGAGATAAGGGCGGCCCCTCCTGCCCAGGGCCGCTCGGAGCCGGGGCTGCAGCACCGCCGAGCCCTGCTAGGGATCCCCGACTGCCCCCGATCCCGTGAGAGCACAGCCCTGATTCCAGGTGGCGTTGCTGTGTTACCTTCCTACAGCCCATCGGTGGGGCAGAGCAGCCAACGCGTGCCAGCACGGGGCTGGACCAGGGCACGCTGCAGCACCCTTGTGGGGCTGAGCAGGAGGAGAACACCGCATTTTGGATGCTGAGCCCACACGCCTCGCATTTTTTGTTTCCCAGCCAGCGGCACTGCAGCACCCTTAGGGTCCGAGACTGGGATGCGCTGGAGCATTCTCTGAGGGCTGAACGTGGGGATAGCAGCGCTATGGGAAGGGGCTGAGATGCGCATCCCAGCGCCCAGCCCGAATCCCCGCAGCATCCGCGGCCGCGTTTGCCCCCTAGCGCCGGCAGCCGCCCCGCACAGCTCCGCGCTGCGGGAAGGACCGGGGCTGGGGCTGAGCCCTCAGACACCGCTGTTCGAATGTGCCTCAGTTTACCCGGACAAAGAGAGCTGCTGCCTTCCAGCTTCCCTTGTCTCTGGGCAGACAAGGGGTTTCTGAGATGCTTCGGACATGTTGCTAAATGAGAGGCAAGGTTTAGCGCTGTTGTCTGCAGCCCCCAGCAGCAGTAGGTGATGCTGGTACCCGATACATGGACAAAATGCATTAGCCGCCGCCTCTACGAGCAGTTTGGAGGCTGCTTGACCTCTCTCTTGTACCAGAAGTGCACCTATGCGTGATATACATATTTCGTGCAGCTCCAAAGATGTGTGGTCACATCATTCTGGAAAAACCCAGTGAGATCCTGCTGGAAACGTGGATCAGGGGTGACGGTGCAGAACACCGTGGGGTGATTCACACTACCCTCTGGCTTAGGGCAGCTCCATCTCCCCCTGTACTCATTCCCAAGACTGCAGAGGGATCACCTGGATGCTGGGCGTGACAGCAGTGCGGCGCCAGCTGGGAGAGAAACAGCTCGTTAGGCTGAAGGTGCTAATTGGCAGCTAATTGCTTTAAAAGGGCGGGGCTGGGGGTAAGGGGAGTGCTTTGGTGCTGCGTGGAGCTGTGCTGCTCTGGAGGTGAGTAGTTCGGGTCTGCTGCTTGGAGGGTCCCCAGGTGCTGCAGAAGTGACTTCTGCACAGCATCTCCCAGCCCTGTTGGTCTGTGCTGGGGGCAGGGGGTGGGAGCTAGCTGCTGGCTCAGGCTGCTCGGGGTTGGAGGGTGCTGCTCGTGGGGCTGCGGGGTGATGTGATGGTGGGTTTGCCCCTGTGGGTGTATCTCTGCACCACGTGTGTCCTTATGCTCTGCGGGATTTTTGTGGGGTCAGAAGGTGCTGCTGGCCTCAATGATGATGTCAGGCCAATGCAACTGTGCTCCCTGTAGGGAATACCTTTTTCATATCCCCACGTGGAACCTCTATCCCTTATCTTGACTGGCTCTGAATTAGCATAAATCTCTGCTTTCCTGCCTCAGGTACTGCTTGTGAAGCAACCTCAGCCTGATGCTGGTTGTGCTGTGTCCCCACAGCCATGGGGGTGAGTGGGGTTGAGACACCTGAGCGGGGGCTGTGTACCAACTGTGCTGTGCCTGTGCATCTGTTCTGCAGCTGGAGGCACTGAGTGGCCTCAGGGTTGGCACCCCTCCTCTCAGCTGGGTTCTGCTCCAAAGGGCTTTGGGGTGGGAAGAGGTGCAGCACTGCTATAGCCCTGCAGCTGCTTGGAGGATGGCTCTGTGCTGCTTCCCCCCGTGTGTGCAGGGGAGGGCTGCCTGCAGGCAGCAGGGGAGCTGGCATCCTCATTTTTTAAGTCTTATTCACCTTCCTGTGAATAAACTTGGGAGGCTTAATAATGAAGTTGTTTTTTTGTGAACCTGTGGATGTGTGTTGCATGCATGAAGAGTGCAGCTGAAATGGTAGTCAGGAGCAGCCTCTCAAATGTTTGGAACTGCTGTGGAAGAGCTTCTTTTTGGGGTGCTTCCAGCTTTGCTCTGAATTTTCCCTTCAGGGGACTTTGGAGGCTCCTCTCACCCTTGGATCAAAGGTATTCATATTTGGGGCAGATCCACTTACTGCTCAGAAGAGTAATGGGGGGGGGGGGGCCCCCCCCACGGCGGTGAAGGGAAAAATGCTGTGAGAGATTCCTCCCTGACTGCACCCCGATGAGATGGGGCCTGGGATGGGCTGCCAAATGCTGCAGAGGAGAAACCACAATCCTCATTCTGGTTTGATGCTTCTAGCAGGCCCTGGCTGGTGTGGCAGCAGCAGGGTAATTGAGAGCACCCCAAATGGCTTTCAGGTGTGGGTAGGCAGCACAACAGGGGCTATAACAGGAGATGAAAGGAATGGCTTCTGTAAATGGATAACCTATACATCTTGCTTAAGGGAAATAAAGACTTGGACACATAAAATGAGATTCCTATATGATAGGACTGTGGAAAAAGTAGCTGATGGAGTAATCTCACACCTGAGAGGTCCTGCAGTGATGGATATAGCAGGGGTTCAGCATGGAGAGCCCAGGGATGGATTGGAGCTGGGGTGCTCCAGCATCAACAGTGTCTGATGGGCGCAGGTGGGCTGTGGCACACATGGGCAGGGATTTATTGGCACCTGAGTGCACCAACTTCCCATATCTCCATCCTGGAGTCCTCTGGATCTCTGGTGTTGGGGGAGGATGACTTTAAAGTGTTGGCTGAGTCCTTTGCTCTTCTCAAGCATGAGTGCAACATCCAGGGATATCGTGACATCAATCTGGTGCTTTTCCCCTCCCCAAAAAAACAAGCAGGGCTGTGTGCCCTGAGCTGCCCACATGCTGCAGCACGTGTGGCACCTGTTTTCCCAGTGGCAAAGAAAAGCTGCAAACTGTTATGCTCTTCTCTCTGCAGTCTGCAAAGCTGTACTTGCATCCCCCTCTCCCAAGAGCTAAGTACAGTTAACTGGAGCCAAGAGCGGGATGGGTTCTGCTCAGGCATGGGGAAAAGCAATGGGTTCAGCAGGTGGCTGTGCTGCTCGTAGCACAGAGAAAGGAGGAAATCTGCTGTAACACGGGAAGTGCTTGCAGGAGGTGGAAGTGCCCTTTGCAGTTCTGTACGCCAGGGCATTTTCTCTATTGGAGGGTGATGCCTCTGTGCACCCATCTGTGGCCCATGTGCTCCTAAGGCTCCCAGCAGTCCCAGCATGGTTTTGTAAGTGCTCCGTGTATGGCTGCTACGAATGTGGCCCACAGATGGCACTTATCGATGTGCTTTTCCACCTTCCTCTTGGAAGCCCTTTAAACCTGCTTGGAGGCAGATCTGCTCACCTTGGTGCTTTTATTATAGTGGTGCTGCACTTGGTGTAAATACCTCCTATGAACAGGGAACAGAGGTCTGTACGTTCCAAGCTGTGACATGGAACAGATGCAGTGGGTGATGTGCAGCACCGTCTGCTGGAGGAGAGATAGAAAAATGAACCCATCCCTGCTCTGCCCTCCCCAGGCAGCAAGGATGAGAGCCAGCCCATGCTGGCACAGCCCTGCAACATGCTGGCCGCGGGCAGCTCGGGCAGCACAACATCTTGTTCTCATTACACCAGGGCAGGTTTCTTGCTGATGCTGCATCCTCCCCGTGAGCCGGCATTTCCGTGCCACTGAGTCATCCCCGACGCTGGAATGTGGCCATGTGTGCACCGCCCTGCACAGCCATGCTCTCCTGGCTGTGCCCCGTGAGGAGGGTAGGAAATAAGAAATGTTAATATGGGGATTGTGAAGGTGAAACATTGCTGAAATAATGTGTGGGGGGAGCTGGAAAAGGAAGCTGCTCAGGAGCTTCTGTGAGCAGGTGGAACAGGGTGTGAGCACAGACCATGTGGCTGTGGGCATCATAGCAAAGGGCTGCCTCTTTCCCATCTTGTTTTGCACTGATTGCCATGGGAAAAGCTAAAACCAAAGTAAAGGTGAAGACTTGGTTCTCCCTTGGCTTCAAGCATGCAGTGGGATTGAATTGAATTCCTGAACAGGAGCGAGCAGCTCCAGATCGAAGTGGTGCTGAGTGGCTTCACAGCAGCCCTGTGCTGGGACGTTGGAGTCTGTATGCTGGGCAATGGGAAGGGAAGCTGCTGGTTCAGCCAGGCAGTGAGCACCTCAGCATGAAATATTCCTTGTCTACCCACACGATCCACAGTGCCTGTGTGCAGATGTTGAGACAGTGCTTCAACGTGAGCCAGGAGGACGGGGGCTGCGCTCAACGCCTTCGCATTTTCCTTTTTCCGATCTTTCTCCGTTCCTCTAATTGGAAGCCTTGGGCTGGCATTTCCTGCCCTGCAGACCATGCTGTATGGCACAGCTCTGCCAGACAGGCAGCCAGGAGATGGCTCAGCACTGCAGTGAGCAGTGGGTCGGCGTCCCCTGCGAGAGCTGCCTTCCTGCTGGATGCATTCAACCTTCCTTCCCTTCCCAAAAAAAAATGATCTGGGTGGTGGCATTCAGCTCTGTAATAAAGCATAGATTTCATTAACAAAGAAGCACCTTATATGGGCTGTTTCTTTCTTAAAAATCAGGCTTGTGAATTCCTTGGCAGAAGCAGGGAACTTTGCACTAATACAATCTGTGCTGGTTATAGGTGTGACACCAGAGGCTGTCTTGGATGTCTGTGCCTTTCCCCATGCCACATCTCCAGCACCACTGTTGAAAGCCTGCATTTGCAATACCAGGACATGTAGGTTTTGTTGATTTCTCTAATTTCTAATCCATGCTATTCCCAGCAGAGCCCATTTGTTTTCAAAGCAATGGCCAAAGTGTCAGCAAATGCCACTTACCTGGCTTGCCTGTGCTTCAGGCTTCCTACAACAGAAAAGATGGGGCTGTTGGGGTGGCCCAAGGTGGATGGGAGAGAGGAAACTTTAGAAGCCTGTAGCAGTGTGTGCACCATGGTACTTGCCCTGTACTTATTATCAGCCATGGGGGGGGAGAGTTGAGCACCTTGCCCACAACTTGTGCTCTCCAGATAGACATGAAGGACACTGGATGCTCTCCCAAAGGGCTGACTGCTTGTGGTTTGCATGTTGCTGACGTCCCCCCTCTGTGTTCATGTTAATGCTGGTCCATGGGGTAACCAGGAGCTGATGGCCCCCAGCACAGGGATGTGAGGTCCTGGCTGTTGCTGCCTGCAGGGCAGGGATTGAGATGTTTGCACTCTCTCAGCACTGGGCCAGTAATGACCTTAGCAGAGCACAGCTGGCAGAGCCCAGCGCTCTCCAGACATCTGGAATGTGTCACATCTTTCTCCAGTGCCTAAAAATGGCTCATCTCCTGGTTCTTCACAGAGGGCTGTCTGCAGGGTGCCAGCTCTGCTCTTGGACTCAGGTGAATGGGCAACAGCAGGTCCAATTTGTTGGCCTGTCTGGTTTGGAAAAGCATTCAAGACACTTGGATGAGACACTTTGTGAAAGCATGAGGGCTGGTTGTGCTGATCTGCCTGCCTCTCGGGGTGGGCAATGCACTTATTGCTATGTTGAATTGACTCAGTCTCTCCAATCCCAATCCATCTCTCCAGTTGCCCTGGAGCAGCGTGAGGATGCAGTCCCCATCTCACCCATAGTGACTTGCACCCCAGCACTGCTCCTGGCTCCCAGTGAACCTCAGATTTGTGCTGTTTCCTTTTGCTGAAGCTTCTGAATCCCCTTAGAACTCACTTTAAAGAAAACTGTTGTGTGGTTTTCCTTTAAGAGGGGGGGGGAAAGCATATTTCTGGTTTCAAAGTGGAAAAAACTTGCATCTCTTTTGCTCTTCCTTGTGGCCTGGGCCTGGGTGGACCTGGAGCATCACTCCCAAAAATCTGCCCTGCTCTGTGCTTTGCCAGTGGTTGGTGCCCCTTGTTCCATCCCTTGGGTGCTTAGGGGACGTGCACAGCACCCTTCTGCCTCCCCATTTTGCAGCAGCAAAAAGGAAAAAGTTTGGGAGTCTATCTTTTAATTCCTTCTTTGCAGACGATTCCGTGCCCAGAGTCGCTTTCCTGTTGCATATTTTCCCCTCCAATATGTTCAGCAGCGTATTAATCAAGTGCTCCTCTGATGTTGTGATTTTTATGGGCTGCCAACTGCACAAAGCCAGTTTGGCATCCTCTCCAAAGAATGAGTTTGAATGGCTTTACCGTTTGTATTTCAGACTGAGCTGTGTGTCACTTCAGTAGAATTAAAGTGGGGGGGGGAAGGGGGATGAGCGCCAGAACTCATATTGCACAGCAGCTCTTTCCAGACTGAGAGGAATCTCTGTACTGTGGGCAAATGGAGGCAGCAGAAGTGTGCAGCTGTAAATAGAACTTCCGTGGAGTGGGAGATAATATTAATAATAAATAGCTGAGCTTTATGCAAGAGGTTTTTTTTTTCCTGCTGTGGAAAACTTCCCAGGGGAAATATTCTGGGTTTATTGGAGAGATGTTTGCATACTTTCAACTAAGTGGATGAAGGTCTGATGGAGCATCGTCCTCTGTGGAAGGCCGTGGGATGCGGTGCTGTATGCTGGCCCCATGGCTGAGCACCCAGCTCTGTGGTCCTGGTGATGGGGTTTAGATGGACTCCATGTAGGTCAGTGCAAAAGTGCAGTGCTTGGTGTTCAGCGGGTTTGTGGCAGATGGATTGCTTGGGATTCTCGGGGTTTGTTCATCTGGAGTGAGAAATAAAGAAGGAGAGACTAAATAAATGGAGAAAATAATGCTAGGTAAGCAAACAAAGAAATTCCTCAGTAGCAAACAGTACTTTTTTTTTTTGAGGCTAATGCTCTGCAAATGCTGTGTTGGAGCTGCCTGAGCTGTGAAGTCACTGGGACAGCACCTGGGGAGGGTCAGCCTGGGCTCTGGCTGGGGTGAGTGGGCTTAATCCACGTCAGGAAGCTGTGGAGCAGTCTGCTGGGAGGTGGATGTTTACAGCAGGGGGCCAAGAGAGCTCTGAAACGCCCAGCAGTGAGCACCCTGGCTGCTGGGGCTCTGCAAGATAGATTGTAATCACATTGGTTAGGAGGGTTTTTGTAAAAAATCAACCTGGCACAGTGCTAAGCCCAGGTGTGGAAGTGTATCTGAGCTTGGAGAGCCTTGGTGTTTGTTGTGGGAGTGCTTGGCTGGAGTGTGAGCCTGGTGGCACAGAGAGGAGCCTTCTGGCCAGGGCTGATAAATACAGCAATGCTGATGGAGTGCTGAGGGCAGAGTTCTTTCAAACACTGCACTGCTTCCAAGCTGCTTTCCAGAGGTGAAGTTATTTCCTTGCATTGCTTTGAGCCTGGAGAACCAGGAGGGTCTTCTCCCCATCCACCCTCCCCAGCTGTGCCCAGGGTGCTCACAGCTGCTGTGCTGGGTACCACAGACTGTGGGGTCCCTGTGTTGGGACCCCAACATCGCTCCCCACACTGTGCTGCAGGGAATGCTTTGGTTAGAAAGGCAATGGGTGAGGAGCTGAGTGCTTGGAGCCCTCCGGATGGCTCCCTGGGGCTTTTAGCCTGTCTGTCTGAGATCTTCCTTCTTGCTGCCTGCTTTCATTTCCAGCCTCGTGCTCTCAGACGACTTAAGGTTTCCTGGCCTCGTGCAGAGCTGCTAATCCCTGGAAGAGCATGGCTTTGTGTTTACATCAGCCTTTGTTTTGGACAACCGACTCTCCAGGGCTCTGAGCTCAGCCGGCCTCATGACAGCCAGGCGTGGCAGCACCACGTGCACCTCATCCCCCCATCCCCAGGTGATCACCCCCTGCCCACCCCTGAAACCCCCTAAAGGGGGTTGGGCTTTGTGCTGAGCGCCCCCTGCCCCATCCTTCCCCATAGGGGAGGAGCAGCCTTGGGTACCACGTTGCTCTCATCCCAGGCAGTTCACTGTAGAACACACCGTGCGACCCTATCAGCCCTTCCTCTGTTTGGATTTGGGAACTGGGGGTTTTGTTTTCATTCCTGGCCTCTGTTTACATTCCTTGTATCCTGGCTTAGTCCTTCTGTAGCTCACAGAGTGGCTGTGTCCAGTGAATGACACCCTCCTGAAGGTCAGGAGAGAGGAGGTGGGAAGGCTGAATTTGGGGAAAAACTGAGCACGTGTGGGAAAACATATTGGGAATGTGTGGGATGAGTTGTAAACACAAGGGGAAGTAAGTTCAAGTTGTCACCACACCGGGCTGTGCTTTTAGCTCTGCAAGAATTGTGGGGTGGGAGCTTCAGCAGTGACCCAGCTAAGATTTAGGGGTGGCTGCTGAAGTTTATTTGCAGGATTTTCCTTGTGAGAGGTGCACAAAGCCTTGCTCAGTTCAGGATGGGACCTGGGGTCATCCAGCACTGTCTCCTGGCTCTGAGTGAGGGCACAGTCAGCACAGCTTTCTCCTATCCAGATTTCTTAAGAAGCCCATCCAGCGTTGTTAATGTGGGGAAGACATGAGATCTTCCCTTTGGGAATGGCTGAGAAACATTGTGTCACTCCCTGTGCAGCTCTGCAGCCAAGTGAGCTTGCTGCCTGGATAGAGGCTGCCCTGCTTGCTCTCTCCTTTCTTCCTCCCAACCTGCAGCAGCACTGGGTGAGGTCCTGCTCTCTGCAGGAAGGGCTGAAGGAAGCAGAACGCTGCTCAGGTGCAGGTTCAGTGCTGGGATTTGCTTCCCCTGCTAGAGGGATGGGTTTAACCTCAGAAACGTCTGGATGCAGAGCACTGATTACAGCATGTGTGGATCTTGGTTTGCACTTTGTCACTTGTTGGCCTTGCAGGGGCAGCATGAGGTTTGGGCTGCAAACCTGTGGCACCTGAGCCATGTGTCTTCATGTGGGAGCTGCCCTCCCACACCAAAAGCTGTTGCTTTGCTCTGATTTCAAGGCAAAAATTTCCCCTCTCACTTTCTCCATCCATTTGTTCCTGGCTGCTGGAGGGCCCTGAGGACTCCATGCCACTCACGTGGGGTTGGGTTTGGTTTTGCAGCACAGTGCAGTGCCTGAGCAACCAGCAAGAGCGATGCTGTGTGCACCTGCAGGTGCAGCATCCCTGCTCTGAACATCTCCTGCCTCCAGCAGAACCCAAAGTGAAGAACCCCATCATTGGGACTCGCTGAGAGCCAGGCACAGATCGCAGCACATCTTTTCCTAGTGCTCTGCCAAGTGGCTGTGCGGGGCTGGGGAGGGATGTTTGTTTCCAGCCCCACTGGTCTCTATTGGAGATGGCTGTTTTGCCTTCCCCAAAATGCTCCCATTGCAGCTGGGGTAGGAAAGATGTCAGAAATAAAGTGATGGCAATGAAAAATAACCTCCATCAGCTGCCTGGGGCTGTGTTCTGCCCCTGGGCACTGCTTTGGTGTCACCCCCCCCTTCATCCTTTCTCTGCAGGCTGAGATTTTGGAAAGCACTGAGTTGGATAGACCAGAGCTCAAATTGCACTGGGATCCAAGAAAAAGAAAAGGAGAATAGCACTTAACATAAGCCCGGTTTTTGGCTTTTTACAGGATTAATATCATATGATGAA